AAACCACCCTACTCTTAGTGACACACTTAATAGCAACCGTTTTCTCATGTCCAGAGGGTCTATGAGTCATAGATTCTGGTAGAACACAGGCAGGAAGTCTTGTCCCTGGCTCCACAGACTAATGTGTTGGCTAAGACTGGCTTTTGTGGTTACAAGGAAAATACCACATCTCCTTCATGTTACTAAAATGGGTAGGGGCAAAGGAGCAGAAAGGTAAATATGAAAGTATGTCTTTGTTTCGTTTCCTAGAAATACATTATATTCACTTCCTAGAAATACATGAAGGTATGTATGTATTCCTTCATGTTGAATAATGTGTAACAGCGATGGTGAACCTTTCAGAGTTTTTAATAGCCCACTGTGGCACATATGTCACAAATTGGCCACCACTGGCATATAATGTAAGATCAAGTACACATTAAAGAATAAACACTATTTTCAGAAGTTAGTTTGTGCTATTAGAGATAGTAAATATTCATTGAGGATTTCTACTGAACTAGTTAAGCTACAACATGAACTACAAGAAATTAAGTTGGAGAGCTGGAGATGTAGCTCAGCAGCACGGTGCCTGCCTGGCAAGTGCAAAGTCCTGAGTTCATTCCCCTGTCCCGGAAAAAAAAAAAAAATTAAGTTGGCTTGGACTTGCATATTATAGTTAGGGATAGAATGTCAAGCATTTAGGGTGGAACAAATTCTAAAAGACTTTCAGCCCCAATGAATTGGAAAATGAAAGGAACTGTGACCTGACCTAAGCACAGATAAATCGCTATGAACATTTTGATTTGCAATGTATTATTTACTTGCTGTTAAATAACAGGGGCATTCAATCTGTACAACTTCGTAGTCTTTAGTTTGATAGCTCTCCAACTATTCCCTAAGTAAATATATCTGTGAAAACATGACATAACAATTGTAAATGACCACAAAGTCCATTTTCTTTCCTAAGTGGACCTCTTTCCGTCAATTCATTGGAACCTTCTTGGGTTAGATTATGCCAAACTGTACGTCCAAAAATGTCTTGAAATGTGGGAGGGGACTAGCAGGTGAGAGATACTTTAAAATACTGGTTGAATGGGTTTAATTTATTGAGTTGAACCAGATACCTTGATGGCAATATGGAATGTGGTTTAACTACCTTGTTCTGCTGGCACATTAAGTGTGTACACTGTAAAAAATCACCTCTAGAAACAGGTCTGTGAAGTTTTATGTTGTATAGTGCATAACCTGTTTCATATAACAACACAAAGGAATTAGTCATTTGTAAATATCTGAGCTTCATAAACTTAAATGTGCTATGTAAGATTATGAAATTAGAATTTAACACATGTGCCTCTTTGGGGAGAATTAAATTTTAAAATGTGGGGTTTCAAATACATAACTAGTACTTGTGGCAAGAAAAATACATCCTTGAAACAAAGTCTAAATGGGCTTTTAAGAAAAGTATACTGCGAACTTCTGCTTTTACAGATTACAAATTAGAGTTATACAGATAGTCAAGCAACACTAAATTTGGGTCCATAATCTATTGAAAAGTAGCACTGGAAAACAAAGGTTAACAGGCTTGCTCTGCTCTCTTCTGTCCACCATGAACTGTCTGTCATGCAAGGCCTGTCTGTCACATCACCCTGCTTTCAAGCCAGTGGTTTATGGACTGAAACCTCTACAAACTATGGTGACCTAGCATGGATTTCTGGCTCTCTCCGTATCACTCCTGGAATAATTAAACTCTGAGTAGAAACTTGATTTAAGGACTCAAATGAAAGTCTACATAAATTTTCAGCAAAAAGAAAGCTGTATGCATCTATATTTATAGCCCAGAGTAGAGGGCTATTAGCAGTGGCAGTTAAGGATTTGTTTTTAGTTTCTTTCTTTACCTCTTTCCCTAGTATTTGAGATTTTATTAAGGATCAGTACAGAAATTTCACCTTGTACGTAATTCTTAACATGTATATTGAAAATCTAAAAGCTATGTATTATTTCTTGTCAGTTATTCCAGTGACTTTCCAGCTTCAAATTTGGAAGCAAAATTTCCTTAAAAATTATCTAATCTAAAAGCTATGTATTATTTCTTGTCAGTTATTCCAGTGACTTTCCAGCTTCAAATTTGGAAGCAAAATTTCCTTAAAATGATTATCAAATACCATTATCTACAAATGCTAAAAAAAAAAAAAAAAAGTCATTCATAAGGGAGCCTAATAAAAGGAAAAATCTATCTTAAATATTTTGTAGAGTGCTGTGTATATTGAATGACTGTGAATACAGACTGGTGAAAGCAATACTAAAATGTGCTGAGAGGATATAAAAGACTTTCAAAAGGATTGCTGGAGGAGATATGATCATAACCTGAAAAGATGGACAGGAACATAAGAGATTCCAACAGAGAAAACAGCTCCAGGAGGATAGGCCAGAAGGGTCATAATTCAAGCAAAGTTAAAAAACAAAAACAAAACAAAACATCAAAAAAAGACAGTCTTATACTGAGAAACATGTAGGTAAATCTGAGAAGTGAGGTCAGAGACCAGTGGTGGGTTGCTTGGAACGTGAGGCTGAGTTTAGAACCTTTTCAGTAGGATGAATCTTTCATCAAGATAGTGATAATGGAATTCAGGCTAATAATTCTTAAGGGAAGGAATGGAGGTCAGTGACAAGAGGTAGGTAAGATATTGGAAAAGCTTAGGTGAGAGATATTGTATGACCAAAGTAGAGTGGTGGCAATGAGAAGAAAATCTGAATCCAGAACTGGCCTTACTGATACACCATAACCAATGAAATGTGGAAATGACCTCAAATACATCAGAAACACTCATGGTGCTTCTGGCTTGTTCTGTAGAATACACGAACTGAGGTAACTGTATGCACCGTGACCTACAGTCCAAGGTGGACTTTGTGATTGACTTATCCTAGCCTGGACACAGTCATTTGAGTTTAAAACCTGCAGGTCCTTCATGCTTTGATGAATTTTAACAAAACACGTGGAAGGATACATCCCAAAGAAACACATTATTTGCCTTCCAGATCTGGTACTCTTTAGCACGCAGAAGGATTTATCGCAAATACTCAGCTAACTAGGTGCATTGTGGTTCATCTCCCAAAGGTTCATGTGGTGAGTCTTGGTCCTTGGTGTGGGAGTGTTAGAATGGAAGAACCTTTAAGAGGCAGAACCACTGTAAAGTGATCAGTTCAGTGGGGACTGCTACCCTTGGAAGTGATTAAGGCTGATCACCTAGATGAGAGTGGGTTACAGTATAAGAACCCGCATTGTGCTTGGCCTCTTTTGCAAATGATCATTTCCCTTCCCACTTCTCTGCTATGTTGTGAGGTAGCCAAGGCCCTCACTAGAGGCCACACTGATGAAAAATCCAAACTTGGATTTTTAGCTTCTGAGACTATAAGCTAAACAAACCTGTTTGCTTTATAAAATAGCCATCCTCAGGTATACTATTAAAACAACAAAATCAAACTATTACAGTGGGCGAGCTGGACATAATGATATAAATTAAATAGTTGCTCCACAGCACTTACACTTCACTCCCCCAGACACTGCTACAACCTTCACAATGTTTGTACAAGACAATGGGACTTAGGTGTTCCGGACCTTGTGTGTGTACTCTGGCCTAAAAGACTCAGAAGAGACATTAAGAGCAATTTGAGGGCTGTGGATTTAGCTCAGTGGTACCGCACCTGCCTCACAAGCACAAGGTCCTGAGATTGATCCCCAATACCCCCCAAAAAAAGAAGAATATGAAAGACAAATTTACTTTGAAGAACAGTAGAAATATGTTTTCAGATAGTTATGCAATTATTTTTGAGACATAGCTTCATCCTTAATAGAAATTCAAGGTTATTAAAGAACAAGAAAACAGATGCATAGAAAACACTTGAAGTTTCACTGGGCATGGTGGTGCACATCTGCAATACCAGCACTTGGGAGGCTGAGGCAGAAGGACTGCTATAAGTTCAAGGCCAGCCTGGGCTACATATCAAGTTTAAGGCCAAACTGAACTACAAAGTAAGACTCTGTCTCAAAAAACAAACAAAAAAGACAAAACAAAACAAAACAAAAATTTGAAGTTTTATCTTGGTCTAGTATCCAGCCTCTCTAATAGTCTTAACCACAACTAAATAGACTAGAAGACCTACATAAATGATTCTTTTAAAAAGTTAAACATTTATTACTATATGCCTATATTTGTTCATAGTATCAGATTTCTAGACATATCATTCACATATAAAATTCTGCAATGTTAAGTATTAATAAATGTCTAGAACCTACTAACCCCTACCACTATTGAAATATAGAACATTTCCAGCACTTCAACGATACATTCTTTTATCTCCTTTCACAATCAATTCCCTATCTCCAGACTTTGATCTGCTTTCCAAATTAAAGCTTTCACTTTACAAGGTTTTTATTTGGTGCCATCATAAGTACTCTCATGTCTGACTTCTTTTCCTTGGCATAGTGGTTTTGATGTTCATATGAGCTACTGCATTAATCAACAGTTAATTTATTTGCATTGCTGAATAGTATTTCATTATATGCACATATCATAAATTGTTTATTCATCTGCTGATGGCTGAGTTGTTTCTGATTTTTATCTATTATGCATGAAATTGCTATGAATGCCTACAGTCCTAGTACTTAAAGAGGTTGAGGCAAGGAGATCACAAATTCAAGTCACCTGAACAACTTACCAAGACCCTATCTCAAAATAAAAAAAAAAAAGACTAGAGGTATAGCTCATTCTGAAGGGCCAGAGTTCATTCCCTGGTACCAAAAACCAAACAAATAAAAGAGGAACACACAAAACTACTATGAAAATTGAGTACAAATCTTATCTTTCTCAAACACCTAGAAATGAAGAACTATAATTTTATCTTGAGAAATATTTGAGTTTTCCTGTATCAACTGTCACAGCAAAAGAACAGAAAGAAACACTTCTTACATTGTCTTATTTCATAATAAAATTTATTAGTGGATCTGCTATAAGAGAGTTGAAAAATTTATCTTATTTTTTTCTAGCATTTAAAAGAGCCTCATATAATCATATATATAGAATATGTTTCACGATAAAGCTTAAATATATGACACAATTTCTCACAAACTTCGATAAATCATATATCAAGTAAAATAATACATTCACATTACTATATGAATAAGCAAGTCATATATTAAGAATTTTGTTTTTCTCTTAAGAACAAAGAAGTTATACAATCTTTAATTTATATACAGTCTCATTTTATTTTCCAAATGAAAAACATTTCCTAAATTCTAGGATTATTTTTTTGTCAAAACTTCCATGTAGAAATGTCTGGAACAGAAGACTTTAAAGTATCAGAATCCAGGGACATATGCTTTCATTTTCAAAAGTACAGAAAATTCCAACATTAACAAATTATTCTAAAAAAATTCAAAATTACAACTTTAGATATTCCTTTTTAAAATAACAGTAGTGTCACTTTAGAGTTAAAATTTGTAAGTAATCACTGAATTGTGATACATGCAGAGATCAGAAAATTTCAACTGTTTCCAAATACCTATCATCATGAAAATGAATATTTTATAATATTAAGGTCTCTAAAGAAAAATAATAATTATATCAGACATTAATAATGAAAAAGTAAAAATGTCACCTCCAGATTACTTTCTAAAATTGCCAAGAAGTCTCAATTTCACTGCATTAATAAGGACAAAACATATTCCATGACAGATTTCTGTGGCAGAAACTAAAACTTTGACAAATAAAATGAGACGAGGCGTTTCTGGGTACATATCATAGGATTTGTATTCCCTTATGTTAACACCTGGAAACTCAATGTCAAATTCTGTAAACTAGTGACATAAAATGATTCTAAAAGTGTGAGTTTTATACTCATCGACTCTGACAATCTGCCAACCCACCACATATCTTACCACCTGCCAAGGAGGTGGGGGACAGAGGACAAGACTAGAGCACTAAAGCACAGAGAACTAACTGCCACACAGTGGCAACAGTCCCAGCAGTGGGGCAAGGCACACACCTGTATCCTCCAAATCCCACACAGCTGCTCTGTCTGCATCAATGAACCCAATCTTTGGGATGGCGCAGAACTTCCAGAATTTCAGCTTCTTTAGAATTCTCTGAGGGTGAATGCATGTATTCCCATCTAGGCATGTCCAAAACAGAAGGAAAAAAAATAAAAAAATAAATACAATCATAAAAAGTGGTAACAAATGGCATAATAACTCTTAAAATAAATGAAGATCAAAATCCTAAGAGTAAAGAAAGTCTTGTACTACTTTGTCTCTATTATACCTGATTTGCCTTGCACTAACTACACATTTAAAAAATATTTGCTGCTTAAGAAATAAAGTTTCTTAGTAATTCTTGAACACACTTGGGCTAATATTAATATCCAGAGCCAAAATACACTGCTACTGTAAACTAGAGCTTCATAAATTGTAGAACCTCAGATGACCCATAGAAACATAATTCTTACACACACTTCTCTCAAGCAAATAACTGGGAAGTTTGGTCAGTCTGGCCCTCTTCAACACCACCTCTGGCTCCTGCATTTTCTCCTGCTGTCATGCAAAGCTATGTTATACATCCTGTTAACCTTTATAAAAACCAAATTAATTTGTCTGAATTATCAACCATAATTTTCTTATAAAATAAACAGAGTCAAAACCGAAGAGGTCCTACATAAGACATGCCAGTGTTAACATTCACATTTCTGGGGGGTGAGGGGGCTGGAATAGACAGACAATTACTATGACGAGATTTTTCCTTACCTGGCAGTCAGAGGTAAAGACATCAAGATGCTTTCAATCCTGGATCCTGGAGTGAAGAGGCCAAATTTTGTTCCTCGATCATACAGCAGATTAAATTCTACATATCTGAAATTAGACACCAGATAACATGAAGGTCCTGCTGAGTAAAACCTTTCAAAAGTCCTTTACAAATCCTTAAAAGGGGCCTTCTCCCCCTATCCCTGTCATCTCGACCTTGCACAGACTACCCCAGCTCAGCTTTCTCCATCTGGACAATAGAAAATAAATAAAAGGGTATTCTACCCACCAAACAATAGGACAGATTATGGCTCAATATACAGCAGTTAGAAAACAAGAAGGTTATGTGTTCTCATAAATAAACAGAATGCATATCATGTTGGGAACTTCAAGGCACAAAAACAATTTTAAAAAGAAATGGCATCCTCTTGGAGTGGGATAATACAGCTTCTCCTGGTCATCCCCACAGGAAAAGACATTAGAGTAGAGGATCTCATTTCACCACCTAGAACTCACCCTACTACTATGAAGACAGTGTAAAACTTCTGTAACTGAAGGTCAAGTACAGCCAACAGTAATCTATTAATAATAATAATAATCTATTAATAATAATAATAAAAAACAGCATTTATAAAACCCCATTTTTAAGCTGTCATGTAATTCATTCTTCCTGCAGATTAATTACAATCATAATAAAAGGTATAGATTTAACTTGTAGCACTCAGTCTTTTCTTTTCTTGGAAAATATCCTCAGCAAGACCTACAACTTGATGCAGTATATTAACTTTTCCAAATTCTTCAGTAACTTACATAGAGTCAGCCATGGGCTCTATCTCAAAAATCTGTATCTTCTTTTAACATCATGATATAGAAAAGTGTCTCTTTTCCCTATTTTCAAAGGGATAATTTCTACTACCCAGCAGAATTTAGGGTGAGCCATAAATCTGAGAATTTCAGTAAATAGTCCCCCTTTGTGACTATTTCTTAACTCACTCAGGAACTATTCTCTTGGTTTCAACTTCTCTCAGATATTGTGGTCTCCTTTCCTCCTCTGGTTACTATCTTTAAACTCATCCACAGCAAAATATTCTCTAGAATCCCATAGGAACTTGCTTTGTAGAAGCCCCTTTTTTCTGTGGAATCTTATAAATGGACCTATAAAAATGTAACCAGTTGTACCATGGATCACCTTCTAGTTCTCATCATTTATCATGTTTCACTTTCACATGCTAATGACTATTTTATACCTTTTTATGCATGTTTCAAGATAGTTTACATGAATCTTAACTTCATCTAAGTTTCATTTATTTAAGTAATCTTAAATTATTACTCCTGAATCAAAGAAGTCCTAAGACCATAGAAAAGAATTTCATCTCAGCTACTTTTTCACCTTAGAGTACCCCCTTGATGAACATGATCTATAAAGGACTGCTGGTTTTTTAGTTTGTATTTATGTATTTGTATTTAAAGAATTGGATCAAAGGCACTTGCAAGGATCTCCTAAAATGAGTTTCTGTAGGATCTTTGTGTTCCTTTCATTTTTTGAGTGAAAAATAGCCTGATTCCTGCCAAGTTTCACTTAGATCTAATCTTTCCGATCCTTTCCATACATGTATCTTCTCTGGGGTGCCTATATATTAAGGGCTTTAACTAACGTCTTCAAATTTATCTAATGCCTAGATTTTACCCTGCTTTCTTTTCCCAAAAGAAAATAAAACGGAAGTAATTTAAAGGTCTTTAGTTTCTGTTTTCCTATGAAAAAGATGTCTATGAGAGGGCAGTTCAAAGTCCGAGGAGAAAATACGAGTAACTGAGGGCAACTGACATGATGAAATGTCCTAATAAGGGATTGTGAAGTCAAAAGAGAACCAGAGTGACCACAAAAAAGGGAGCTTCGTATTTGCAGGGGATACAGAGTAATCTTGTAAAGACAGATAATGGGTTGTGAATATAGTATAAGAAACTGAAGACAGTGCTGATGTCTGCAAGTGTTGATGAGGGAAGACGTGGGGTTATCTTAAGTCACAGAGTCTGCTGCCACGTTAGTGCTTAGAGATTAAGGGTGGCAGAAGATGGCTCTCTTTGAAGAACAGTTACATACCACATCATAGAAAATTAATCTAACACCCCATACTTCAGCCTAAAGAGATACAAACTGTGCATGGTGGTGTATAGCTGTAATTTCAGCTACGTGGGAGGCTGAGGCAAGAGGACTGTAAATTTAAGGCTAGCCTGGATAACCTTCTCTCAAAATAAAAAGGGCTGGGGATGTGTATCAGCACAAAAGCACCTGGCTAGCACACATGAGGCTCTGGGTTCAATCCCTGCTACTTTGGAAAACAAAACAAAAAACAAAACACCATACACACAATCATACTTTCAGAATGACCAGCAATCAAATAATGTAAAACAATAAAAAACAAAAAATTATTACTCCTGAATCAAACAAGTTTTAAAAGATTCACATTATTAGTACTCACAAAATTTTTTCAAATGAAATTTTATGTAAAACTAGAACTCTTTACTTTCTAGAGTTTTAAGTTATCCTCTTAGATGTGTTTTCTCATATTTTAATATGCCCACATTGGCAGTCAGGACAGTGCCTAACCATATGAGGCCCATGATAAATGTCAAGTGAAAGAAGGAAAGAAAACTAATGGCATATTTGAAAAACTATGGAGAGAAAATGTTGTTGACCACATTAAACATTTTCTAAAAATAAAATTTAATCAAGATTTATGAGGGCCAGGGATTTAGCTCAGTGGTTCAGTGGCCTGCCTTGCAAGTGCAAGGACCCAAGTTCAATCCCTGGTACCAAAAAAAAAAAAAAAAATTTATGTGTCAAATTTATAAGTGGGAATAAGATAGTACAGGCAATTATAAAAAAGAAAAATACAAATATTTATTTTTAGACTTAGAACAGTATTTAAGTTGAACTCTTTGGAGCAAAAGCTTTACCTTCCTAGTGCCCAAAGTTTCTTGCATCTGAGGGAATTAACATAAATTAGAAAATCTAATTTATAGCTATGGACCATTGGCAACTTGAACATCCAATTAAGATCACAATGAGAAAGTCATGTAAGCTGGCAGAATGGATATCTGGAAGTCATTCACAAATGTATCATGGCTGAAAATAACTCATTTGGTCACTGAACTCAATGCAAAGAGAAGGTGGTGGCTAAGGTGAGTATCACAGTAAGTACAAATCCACTTCCACTATTTAACTTCCTTGGTATACCGGAAAGATGTGGTTGTGACAATTTAGTTCACCATCTGGGATCTTGTATTTAACAACTGTAGTGTCTTGGGCATGGGACATACCTTTCTGAATACATTTTATCATCTGGAACATACTGTGTACACCTACCTCACAGGTTTGCTGAGAAAAAGGGATCCAAAATGTCTACTGAGGGGCTGTACATAGTTAAGTGCTCCAAAATCATGAAGATTTATAATTTTTGCAATTATTTCTATTAAAATACTTTCATGAAATCTTTAAAAAGTACAATTCTGAAATTTACGAATCACCAAAAAAAATTAAATGATGCCCACACCATGGCACTACATGGAGGGCACAGCCTGAAGACTAAAAGAAATGAGCTGAACTGAACTCAGCAAGCACTTACTACATGTCTGCTATGAGTTTCTACCTAATCAATGAATTGACTAAACTTTATTTTTGGACGAGTACTCTATACAGAGTTTTGAATTTCTTTTTAAATATTCATAAAGCTATAAAATAAAAGTAGGGTACAAATGAACATGATTGCTATAATGCATCTGCCTAAGAGAGCACAACACCATTAGCACAACTGCTTTACTTCCCCCAGTTAGGCTGAGAGTTTGTGCTCCTGTCACCCACCGTCCTCTTCTGAGCTGCTGCCACAGCTTCTCCTGGGGTGTGAATGACTCCTCACAGTGCTTCTTTACAAGGGGAATATAAGAAGGAACCACAGCCTGGGCACAGCTCTGCACAAAGCGGAACACTTCCTCCTTGGATGGAGAGTCAAGGTCATCGAAAAAGATACCACCAATGCCCCTCCGCTCTCCACGGTGGGTTATAAAAAAGTAGTCATCACACCTGAAAAAAGCAGAAGGTTCAAATCAGGGACCAAAGGGGAATAAAAAAGATGAAAATCTATGTGGATCTTTCAGTTCACAGCAGTCTCCTTGACTGATGCCAGGATAATGCCTTTACTTTGTGTCCAAATATGAAAATGAAACTGGGACTTCAGAGAGATTTTCTGCAGACACAACAAATGTAGAGGATTCTTATATTCTTACCTGTAAATAAAAGTAGGCAGTTTCACAGGAGTCTACCTAAAGAATATAGAACTCTCAGAACTTTAGTGAAAAGAATAGAGTTCAGGGTTTTCAATGTACGTCTTGAAATAAGTGAAGCTGCTTCCCTCAGAAAGACTGCTACTTTTGTAGGAGGCAAGAGGATCGGCATCTTCTAAGAATGACACCAAAAGGATGCAGATCTGAGCTCTCTTAAGTCAGTTCTTAATTTACCAAAGAAGGTACTATAAACTCCAATGCATCGCTCAGCAGTAAAATATGATGATCAACAGACAGCATGCATAACAGAGGGAAGGGCTGGTGAAAAGGAATAAATCTTGAAATATAATAAGGCTTACTCACATGAGCCAGAACATGAAACTACCAATTTGTTCTTCAGTCTTCTTCCCTCCATATCTACCAAAAACAGCTTCCTAAGAAGCCCTCCAGGAAATGCTAAACTTGTAGCATAGTTTACAATATGGAAATAGTTTTTTTAATAATCTCTATGGTGAAAATCCCTAAATAGAAAACCTACTCAAACAAACAACACTTTCCTTAAAAAGTCACCTTAAACTCAAGCTTAAATGCAAAAGATTAAAAGGCATCAAAAACTAGAACTGAAGACTTGGTATAAGTCATGTCAGTTGTGCCATGTTGCCTTTCATTTACATATATACTGTATTAATGTAATTTTTAAAAGTATATCCTGAACAGCTTGAAAACTTACCTTTAATTCAAATCACATTATTTCAATATTTCTCTTCATAACATTATGAAGCTAATAGCTTCATGAAATACTTACAATGAATTTTTTTCTTTGAAATAGATATATTTTAAATATTTTATTAGCTAATACTGCTAAACCTTATCTTAGAAACTATAAGAAACCAAAAAAGGGGGCAGTGTACCCCACCAGTCCACCTGTTGCTGAGTTGTGGGAGAGAAAAAAACCTACACTGCATACATATTGACCCACAGCTTATTATTTTCAATGTAATATTAAATCAAGAAAAAAAATAGACAAATGGATGTTTTTTTAGGATTTTAAGAGGCAAGCTCCATGCTTTCACACAGAGGAGATCAACATTCCACAATTACTAGCTCTATACACGAAGCAAAATGACAAAAAACCCTTCTGTTCTTCCTTTTTTAAGAACGTCAATTAGCTCTTGGTTCTTTACTCTCATGCCAAACAATTTATTCTTAGAATCCATTTGATTTCAAACAAACATTCTGTATTTCTTCACAACTTGTGGCTGTTCTTACTCCATTATTAGAATTTCCTTAAAAGAAATCTTTACTACCACTGTTTTTGTCTAAAATCTCTGGAACATTAGTAACCCTCCCTAAGGATTCTCTAACCACCCCTTTTCCCTCATACATTCTCAAGTCAACATCAGGACAGTAACTCTTATCTGGGATGAGAATTTAACAACTTTAGGATATACCTTTAGAATTATTGAGCCTTTGGTTTTGTGGCATTAATAATCTTATGGTTTATATTTAACCATTTTAAAAATTTGGAATAAAAAAAAGACAATACTACATAATATATATCACAGATATTGAAATATTCCAAGTATTTCTAAGCAAATTATTTAAGCCACTTAAAACTGTTATTCTACATCTTCTGTTGAACAAAATAAGAAAACAGTTCAACCTTCTTAAGCTGACAAAGGTGCTTAATGACATACTATGTAGTTGAAGATACATAAAAGCAATGGGAAATCCTTCTGGGGTTATGAAACATGCAATACCTTTACCTACCATTTTTTAAATTTGGGATACAGATCTGGACCATGTTGGTCACAAGCCTCCTTTAAAGTTCGGTGAAAATGGACAGCATCTTCTTGGTTCAAGTACGTTGGCGTGAGGTCACATCCACCACCAAACCACCACTGCTTGTTACCTACACAAACCAAGACACAGATTTCATGTGGACTTTGACATTCAGGACACTACTAATTACACTTGCAAACTTAATACAGCAGCCTAAGTTCAAAATAGGTGGTGATCAACTAAAAAAACAACTAAATTTAGCTGTAAAGGCCACTGAGGCATAGACCAAGAAGAAGAGGTAAATGCACAAAGAAAAGGAAGTAAATTAAAGAGAGGGAGTAGAACCAGAAAGAGAAATGATAACCAGGGTAATGAATGATAATACACCACATAGGTAATCCAGGAATCTCAAAGCTGGATGTTCAATAAAATCATGCAAGGACCTTAAATTCCCTACTAGATCACAACTGTATAAAGCAAATTCCTGGCCCAGGCAAAAGTAGTTTACAAAACACGCCATGATATTCTGATGTTGCCTGTAATACAAAGCACTGCCAACCTTGTCTTGCCCATAAAAGATGAAAACATTTGCTGAGAGAGGAGCTATCACTTGAGAATTTTGTGTGCTTACTGTGGTCTATGAGTTGTCAATACCAGTTATCAACTTTTTTGAGGGGCTGGGAATTGAACCCAGGGCATTCTTCATGCTAAGCACACGCTCTATCACTGAGCTATACCCTCAAGCAGTTATCCACTGTTAAACACTAGGAGACTGAACAAAACTGAATGTCTTCAAAATGAAACATTAAGCAGTGACTTTATATGTCATAATTTGCAGAGACACCAACAGGAGTAGGTGTGGCGCTGCATAGAGGCTCTGACAAGTGGTAACAGATGGCTGCGCTGACAGAAGACACAGACTGGAACTATGTGCATGATCGACTACCTGAAGTCATGGTGGCTAGCAAAGCTAAAAATGAAAAAAGTATTTTCCAAAAGCAAGTTCACAATTCCAAGTTAAACTCATGTGAGGCTTTCCTTCAGATATAATAAGCCCTGTGCACATTTTGAACATTAGGTTCATTAATTGATTCTTTCTATGTTGGAGGAAGGTCAAAGTTAATCAATATATTCTCACTTTTCAGGTCTACTGCATACGCCATTGAATCTGCCTAGGAATAAACCCTTTAAGCCTTCTGAGAAACCTAATTAAGGCTGTAGTATTTTTTCTAGGATCCTGAGTTTTCACCTTTTCAAAATATAGATTATGCATGGTAATACTTTCTATAGCTCTTGAGACACTTACCATCAGCTTCTTCTACTTCAAAATATCTGTAGTTGAAGTGGATAGTGGGAGCATGAGGATTCTTGGGATGGATGACAGAGCTCACACCCATAGCAGAAAATGGCAATTTACCTGGAGTGTAAAACAGGGAGAAAGCTGTATTTAATCACGAGACTTGATACATTCAAATGAACTCTAATGCCATTTCTGAATCAATTTACAAAAGATGACTTCTAATATATCTCTTAAAATAATTTTGGATGTGTATATCTGTTATATGCATCAATACAAGCGGTTTTATCAATAAAACTTGTGGGAAAAGGGGTTGCTCATGGAAGGCTGTTAAAAAATCTCATTTACCATTTTTAGTTTTCAGAACTTTTCCTCTGCTTCTCATCTGTTTTGCTGCTTCTTCAGAAAGATTCCCGTGAACAACAGAAATGCTCACCCCAGCCTTTTCAAAAACACGCCCATCTTGAAGTACACAGCTGATACCACCACCTCCTATTTACAGAAATTGAAAATGAGGAGAGAATATAAAAGTATACAAAACTGAAAACAATCCTTGTATGAAAGAGGTAGAATGAGGTGTTGTTTTCCTTATCTATTTCCCAAAATTTCTACTGAATATTTTTAATTTTTATGCATGAAGAAATTAAACTACTTATCTTTATGATATAAGGCACTGATACTAGGCAACTACTGAACCTCCCACTGCTGCTACAATGTATTTCTTCTACATTCTTATACAATCATCTAAAATAAATCACTGGATTATACTCCCTTCCAATACTACTCTTCACAATGGCACCAACAAAGTTATGGTACGAAAGAGAAAACTAAAAATTAAAAATAGGAATTCATATATATAAAGGATATTCTTCCACTGCTGAATTTAAGAGCTGCATATTGTATGAAAATATTTTTTCTCAGTTTGCTGTTTGTCTTCTAGTTTTGTTTACAGGTAATAAAAGACAGTAGAAATTCAAATTCTTAAAGAATCCAGAATCTTAAACTGAACAACACTAATACTTAGCTGGGTAAGCATTAGTGCTAGTTTTTTTGTTTTGTTTTGTTTTAATTAGTATTTAGATGTGTAAAAGCATTAGTGCTCGTTTTTGTTTTAAGGCACTGGGATCATCACAGGGCCTCTGTTTAACGGATGTTCATGTTTGGCTTGTTTTTCTAAAAGCTTTTAGGACTTGATGTGACATAAGATGATCTAGGACAATCCCTGTACATTCCACATAAGAAAGGTTAAATTTTTTCGTGTCTGTTTCCCCATTTATAGAATAAGATGAAACATACTATGTAAAAGTGTGATATGAGATTTAAATGAGATGAATAATGTAAAATATTTCGAGTGTTATTAGAAACACGAATGGCACTTGGAGAAATTGAATCTTTTAACAGATGATGTTTTGCCTTTCTGGACCTGAGTTTTCTTATCTTCTTGAAGAGGTGGTATGAGGGCATCCACGATATTCCCCATCCCCAATTCTGAGCCATTTTCTGCATGCAGTTTAGAGCCAGACCCCCCAACTCCATCTCCACTTCCGACTGGGCTTCCCTCTGTTCCTCACCTTCCTTCCTCTCCCATCGGTCCACAGAGAAGCTAGCGCCGCAGTCCACCTGCGCCAGCGCCTGGCACACCTGGGCCTGGGTCTCCAGGATCAGCAGCTCCATCTTAGTCTTGATGTCCCCTGGCCTCTTCCGCAGCTCGCGCAGGTCAGTCACAGGCGGGGCCATGAAGCAGCGGCAGCGGCGGGCCAGCTCGTCGTCTTCCTCCTCCTCCGGCGAGGGGCTCCGCTCCGTCGAGCTCCTGGGCACCATATCTGCCCGCTGCATGTGCCCAAAGGCGGCGGCGGCCAACCCTGCTAACCCCGCCAGCGCTGCAGCCACCCCGGTGCCCAGCCAGGGCCCGCCTCTGGCCGGCGGTCCGTACCCCAATCCGCGGCTGTGCTCTGTACGGGCTGTGCCAGGAGGCCCGCAGCTGCGTCCGGCCGCAGAGCGCCCAGACCAGGCGCGCAGCTCTCTGCAGCTCGCCCGTGCCGCGCGGCACCAAGGCACAGAGTTCAGCCTGCGTAGGTGCAGGGACATGCTTCCGTGCCGGCGCCCGGGTCAGAGACACTTCCCGGAGACTGAGTGGACCCGAGATAGAATTAAAAACTGTACTGGAGCCGAGCTACGGTCGGTTTGCGCCGGGGGGCGGGGAGGCGCTGGGAACGCTGGGAGTTGTAGTTCGACTCCTATCGCCTCTTGCTTTGGCAGAGGGCGCCTGGACCTTGGGATAAGATTTCACCACGCCTAGAAAGTCTTCTAGTGAGGTAAGAAACCTTGCCTGTGTAGGCAAAGAGAGATAAAAGAGGCTGTTTTGTCACGTAAAGCCTCGCCTCTGCAGTTTGCTCAACCACAGCGAAAAGACAAAAATAGAGCTGACAGGCTAAAGATGCACGGGGCAGAGACATGACAGAACTCCCCTTTCCCTCAGCCATTGCCCGCCTGACAGATTCAAAGAAGGTTTAAAAAAATACGGATCCTGTCTTCTGAAACATCATTTGCCCTGGGTCCTAGTCCTTCGGGGTTTCTAGCACTTGTAGCCTCGGGAGCAGAGTCTGAAAAACTCCTTACCCAGACGTTCGAAAGAAAAGGTACTAGAAGATTCCTAAGGGAATCCTGGGAGAAGACTTTCTGGGATCAAGTCTACATCATAGTACTGTCCTTATAATCTTCCCAAGCATTCCTTCTACCTACCTATTTGATGATATTTAAGACAGGAAGTGCTCTTTACTTAATTGTGACCAGGTATGATTGGGAAATATTTTTCAGGTTTTTTTTTTTTTAATCAGTACATGCTTGCATCATGTAATGATCACATTCCTTGTGGGAAGTTAGCACATGTACACAACATATTTCAATTCCTTCTCACCTTCTCTCTCCCCATCTCCTGGTGCCTTTCACATTTGAAAAAAGATAAAGACACTTACCCTATTATACGGGGCTCCGTTCCATTTAAAGTTTGGTATAAACAGGGCAGGGCAAATGTCCACATTTGATCCACTCTTCCTGTCTCCCTTCTTCCCAAACTCAGCCTTCTTTAAGAAATGAGGTAAGGGCCGGGGATTTAGCTCAGCGGTTCGGTGGCCTGCCTTGCAAGCGAAGAACCCCAGTTCAATCCCCCGTACAAAGAAAGAAATGAGGTAAAAGCCAGTCGTGGTGGCTCATGCCTGTAATCCCAGCACTGCAGAGGCTGAGACAGGAGGATCGCTGTGATCTCAAGACCAGCCTGGGCTACATAGTGAGTTCCAGGTCATTCTCAACTACATAGTGAGACCCTGTCTCAAAAAAACCAAAAAGAAAGAAAAGAAATGAGGTAAGAAGTTAACCAATTTGATATTCAGGTGTTTTTTTTTTTTTATTTCAGCTCTATGGTGCCTAAATATAAAGGTGCCAAGACATAAAAATAATTGTCTTATAACTTTTTACAACGGTTAATTTGTCTTTCATATCTCCAGGACAATTTTAATATTTAGTAGCAAGTAGTAACTTAAGGCATTCATCATTGTGACCAGTTTTGTTTTTCCCAGAAACTGGGTAGCCACACACAGCTTTGTCCAGCAACTCACGCTGGTTCATAATGTTAGCAGGGTGGGAATGTTTCCTTAAGCCTAGAAGCCAACAGTCAATGAAGGTAAAGGTCTGAAATGAATATTGAGCCAACTACTTGTACAAAAGCAAAACCATTAGTTTGCAGCCCTAATGTAACCTACCAGGAAGCCAGTTAGAAGAAGTGCAAAGAAAAGATAAGAATTATCACTGTATGAAGGATTTTTGCCTCTTCTGAATTCCTGTGTTGGGTTTTTGTGATGATAAATGAATCTCATTAACATAAAGGAACCACTGTGACACATTTATCTGTAAGAAACTTTTGAATATTGCTCCAATTCTGCAAATACCCATAAGGTGAGTAAAAGATAAGCAGCAATAGACCATATATATATCATGAGTCTTGGTGATTCTATAAGAAGCAGATAAAAAAAGATTTGATATTTCAGCCACAATTGTGTAACACTCATGTGTGTACAGTAGAGGACACTTATCCACTAGTCCAGAAACCAGTATGTAGCAAAATCACCCTTGGATCTTATTAAAAATGCATATCCCTAGGTTGTGGAGAAGCTAGTGAATCTGTATTTTAAATGAGATGCTTTATAAGTCCATGGTTAGACCATGGCTCATGCAGACCAACTGGCAGTTTGAAACTTGCCTTTGCCAGTTGTGAACTTGGGCATATCTTACCCTGTGTCTCAGTTTATGAAGTTACAAGTATCCCCTATGACTTAGAGTAGTGGTGGTGATTAAATAAATTACTTAAAATAAAATACTAGGCAATCAGTATTAGCTCCATTATTACAAATATTACTTTTAATAAATATGTTCACTGATGTTGTTGCAGGAGACATGAGAACCACTCTTGACTGTTTAAAAATAAAAAAGGAGAATATTTGACACTGTATCCAGTAAAACTCTGTCTGGACCTTTAGCCAGAATAATAATGGAATGGCAGGAACCAAAGGTACAGAGTCAAGAATGGAGCAAAATGAGGCTGGTCTTTATGGTACTGCCAAGGAGTTTGTTATTTTATTCAGAATTTAGCAGAAATCCACCAAAAGACATAGAAATAGAAGATGGTGTTTTATCTAGTTCATATTTGAGAGAGATCATTCTGGAAACAAAGTGAAGGATGGAATATAAGAGGTAAAGCTAGAAATAGATAAGGAAGCACAGATATAATGCTGCTCCTTTTTCCATCTCAGGAAAAATCACCAGAAACTGGGATTTTTTAATGTCAGTGATTTTCATAGCAATTTAAACCTTATAAATTCATTTCTTCTTAAGAGATCAAAAAAGGGAAGAGCTTGAATTAAAACACTGGCACAACCTTATCCTATGCTTTTTATGCACTATATATTTCTGAGTGCCCTGCAGGCATCCTCCCTAGGTTTTGAGCAGGAAATCCTGCAAAGGGGACTTCTGTGAACAATGTAGCCACCGAGGCAAAACTGGACTGCTCTCTGCAGCATCAGAGGAGAAAGGGATCTACAATGGCCATTTCTTCTAATGAAATTGTAGATATGGGATAGATTTCCAGGAAGTATGGCAGCTTTGAACATTTTGAATTAAGAGATATTGAAAGAAGTGTCAGTTTTGCTTATCATGTCAAAGCCAGAGTGGGTGGAGCTGCCACAGGGGTGGGAGGAGTCTGGAGAAGAGAATTAGAGTCCTTAGCTCTGCCTAAAATTCAATACTGTCCTGCGACCAATAAATTAGCAGTGCCTGCTGGGTCGGGGAGGTGGTACATGATTGTGATCCCAAGTAACCTGGAGCCTGAGGTCAGGAGGATGAAAAATTTGAGGCCAGCCTGTACATCATAGCATGACCCTGTCCCAAAATAAATAATACTACTACTATAAAAAGTGCTGTAGGTTGTAGCTTAGCACTCCCTGGCTTCGAGCTCTAATACTGAAGAAAAAAAATTACTGTATCAGGGAAAATAACTAGATGAGCCTTGCCTTTAGTAACCGCAGAAGAGAGGGCTACAGGTGATTCATGAGAAAGGTCTCCTTTCAGGGGCTCCTTTGCCAGGAGCAGTTCGTAATTCTGCTCTTATGGAAACCTTATATATCAGTCACAGACTTAGTGTTTAAGCTGAAAATAGGCACAATAAAAATAGATAAAAAGCTCTTCCCCCTATTAGAATTCTTATGATTTCACAATCATAGGATATTATCTCAGACTGTTTTGAGTTAGATATTGGGATAGAAAACCCAATCCAAGGGTTCTTAAGATTATTTTACTATTATAAACAAAATCCTATAAAGAACTCCAAATGATATGTGAACAGAAAGCAGAGGTGTTTCTATTATGGGGTTTTATGTTAGAAATATAAACTGTCCTCCAAAAGGCTCATCATATTGAAGGGCTCCTTGCCAATCAATAGGCTTTGGAGAAGTCATTAGATCATCACTAGGGGTCTCACTTCAACAGTGGATCAAACCATTGATGGATTCCTAAGAGATGGGTCTTATTGAATGAAGCATGTCATTGGAGGAACAGCTTTGAAAACTATATCTTGGCCCTGTCAAAATGGCTATATTACCAAAAGCAATGTACAGATTCAATAAAATTCCCATCAAAATTCCAATATCATTCTTCACAGAACTACAAAAAATTCCAAAATTCATATGCAAATATACAAGACTCAGTAAAATCAAATCAATCCTCAGCAAAAAGAGCAAAGCTGGAATCATCAAAATAACCAATATCAAATTATAGTAACAAAAAAGCATGGTACCAGCACAAAAATAGACACATAGACCAATAGAACAGAAAAGAGGACACAGAAAAAAAGCCATGCAACTATAACAATCTAATTCTTGACAAAGAAGTCAAAAACATACTTTGAAGAAGACGGCCAGCCTCTTTAACACATGGTGTTGGGAAAACTTGACACTCATACATAGAAGATAGAAGATAGATCATTATCTCTCAGTCTGTACAAAAATCATTTAAAAGTGAAGCAAATGCCTAGGCATAAGACCAGAAATTTTGAAACTGGTAAAAAAAAAAAACATACACACCTGAAGCCATAGGACAAAAACCATAAATAGAACTCCATCAGCACAAGAAATAATAGCAAGAACCAACAAATGCGAGTACATCAAACAGAAAGTTTCTGCATGGCAAAGGAAACAACCAACAGAGTGAAGAGACAGCCTACACAATGGGAGAAAACATTTGTCGTCTACTGTTCAGATATAGGATTAATATCTAGGATATATAAAGAACTAAAAAAAACTTTAGCAAATTCAAATAGCCCAATCAATAAATGGACTAATAAATTGAATAGAAGTACAAAATGGCCAATAAATATATTAAAAATGTTCAATATGTTTACCCACTAGGAATATTCAAATAAAAAATACATTGAGATTCCATCTTATCCCAATAGTAATGGCTGTCATCAAGAATACAAAAATACATTAGTGCTAGGGCCAGGGATATAGCTCAGCAGCACAGCACCTTCCTGACAGGTGCAAGGTCCTGAGTTTGATCCCTGGTACAAAAACAAACAACAAACAAAAAACAAAAGTGAAGTACTTGCAAAGATTCAAGTAAAAATGAACATTTCTATACTCCTGGTGGGAATGTAAATTTAGTTGAACCACTGTGAAAATCAGTATGAAGTTTCTTCAAAAAACTAAAAATAGAATTACCATCTGACC